GAAAAAAAAAAAAAAAAAAAAAAAGAAGTATTTAAACACCAGATCCTCAACTGAGATCTTTAAAGGAGCCCCACTCTAATCTAGACCCTAGAACTTTCAGCCATACATAGAGATGGATCTATGTAACTATATATGTATGTATGTATCTACCTACCTACCTACTTACCTATCTGAACAGGATCTTGCTCTGCTGGAGTCTAGGAGCTCATCACAGATCACTGCAACCTTGAACTCCTGAGCTCAAGGGATCTTCCTGCTTTAGCCTCCTGAGTAGGTGGGACTATAGGTACATGCACAGTGCTCGGCTAATTTTTTAATTTTCTGTCGAGATGGGAGTCTCACTGTGTCACTATCTATAAAATTTAGTAAGGGCTAATCATATGCTTCAACACACTTTATGTACATCATCTCGTTATTATCCATTTTACAGATACAGAAATTGAAGGGTTAAATAACTTGTCCCAAATTATACAACTAATAAGTGCCTGTTTTGCATAGTGTCTTTAAATCTAATACCAGGGCATATTACAATCTTTAGGAAGACCTGGAAATACGCTCAAGATAGGGTTGTAGCCTTGATTTTCTTACCATTTTTTCCTTGTTGGTTCTTATATATTTCCCAGTGTATATAATTCAATTATTCTAAACTCGAGAGTAAAAAGTTGGTCACTACAAACTTGATGAAGGTTTATCTGCAAAATTATTATTTATTTCTTTTTTTGAGACAGAGTTTTGCTCTCATTGCCCAGGCTGGAGTGCAATGGTGCAATCTCAGCTCACCATGACCTCCACCTCCCAGGTTCAAGTGATTCTCCTGCCTCAGCCTCCAGAGTAGCTGGGATTATAGGCACTGTGCCACCATGCTCCGCTGATTTTATGTTTTTAGTAGAGACAGGGTTTCTTCATATTGATCAGGCTGGTCTCAAACTTCCAACCTCAGGTGATCTGCCCACATTGGCCTCCCAAAGTGCTGGGATTATAGGTGTGACCAACCATGCCCAGCATGCAAGATTATTTAAAATAGAAATAAGGCTGGGCATGGTGGCTCATGCCTGTAATCCCAGAACTTTTGGAGGCAGAGGCAGGCAGATCACCTGAGGTCAGGAGTTCGACACCAGCCTGATCAACATGGTGAAACCCCATCTCTTCTAAAAATATAAAACTTAGCCAGGTGCGGTGGCAGGAGCCTTGTAGTCCCAGCTTCTTGGGAGGCTGAAGCGGGAGAATCACTTGAACCCAGGAGGTGGAGGTTGCAGTCAGCCAAGATCGCACCATTATACTCCAGTCTGGGTGACAGAGTGAGACTCTGTCTCAAAAATAAATAAATAAATAAATAATAAAATAGGAATAAACAGTAATAGTAAACACAGGATTTGTACAGCGAAAACAAACAGCAGGTAGCCAGGTGCGGTGGCTCACACTTATAATCCCAGCACTTTGGGAAGCTGAGGCAGATGGATCACTTGAGGCCAGGAGTTCAAGACCAGCCTAGCCAACATGGTGAAACCCATCTCTACTAAAAGTACAAAAATAGCGGGGCATGTTGGTGGGCGCCTGTAGTCCCAGCCACTCAGGAGGTTGAGACAAGAGAATCACTTGAACCCGGGAGGCGAAGACTGCAGTGAGTGGAGATCCTCCAGCCTGGGTGACATAAGAGACTGTCTCAAAAACAAACAAACAAACAAACAAACAAAAGAAAACCAGCCGGCAAGGGATTCTGCTGTTTTAAAACACTTCATAGATTTAAAATGAGGATAGTTTATATCAGAGATTTTGGGCTTTGTCCCTCAAAGTTGGATAAAATGTGTTTGGTTACAATGTGAATTTATTTCTTCATTCTTACCTTACTCCAAGATTTTCAAAATGAGACTCATCAAGACAGGGCAGTAATGAGCCTGTGATTTTATTTTCTGTGGAAGAAAAAAGACAAATTCAATATGTACTGTTAGAGATGAGCTGTGCTCTCAGAAAACTCCTCCATGCAGGCTGACCCCTTCCCCTCTTCTAATTGCTCTTCAGCTGCACTCCTGAACCCTTACCTAGGCGCCACACCAAGGCTACCAGACATGTAGCAATTAAGCAAAGCCTGATTACAGCCATCTGGGCAGCTCGAGGGAGGACAGGGAAAACATATGTTGGTTGTCCTTACTCATACGGTTTCTGTCTTTTTTTAATGACTGCCGCCACAAGTCACAGGGTGATGTATTGTCTCTTACAAATTAACAAACTATCTCTGTGCCTGTTACCAGTGAATAGATTATGCCCCTCTCACCCTATATAAACCCCTGGTTTTGTAAGCTCAGGGGTACCTCCTCTGACTGTTACAGAGCAGCCCAGCAAGTTAATAAAACTGTCTTGCCTTACTTTGGGTCTATTCTCCTTTCTCTCGGCTACCCTTACATATACAACATGTTTTTCACTTTCTTTCAATTTGGATGCACCAAAATTTACCCAGATCCACATTTATTGAACACCCACTACAGGCAACAGACTGTGCCAAGTACAGTCTTATTGATCTGCTACTTGTAAAGACTCAATTTTAATTAAATAACTAAACCAAGAAGCACTTTTCTGATAAATCACGTGAAAAAATTTCAAAATTATTCGTGTAAATTAGTTGCAAGAAAAACCAGTTGCAAAAAGTGAAGTGAAACCTGACTCCCTGCTGGGGTTTTGCCAAGTTAGCAGCTTCCTTTTAAACAAGAAAGGTTTGGGTTGGGGAAGGGAAAGAAACTTAAAAGTCTATTGTTTTTAGAATTAACAATTAAAACGATGGCTTCAAGAGTGCTTAAAGTGTTGATTTCTCTTAAACCTCCTGGGAAAGCACTCAATACTCTGATTTGAAAGACTCTTCTCTCTCATATATATATGGAGAGAGAGAGAGAGAGAGAGTTATTTTTTTTCCTCTTTCTATACAATTTATTCTACTATTTCCTGACCTCAGATTCCAAAACTCTGGACCACTTTATTTTACTGTATTTCTTTGAGACAGGGTCTTGCTTTTTGCCCAGGTTGGAGTACAATGGTGCGATCACAGCTCACTTACAGCCTTGACCTCCTGGGTTCAAGCGATCCTCCTGCCTCAGCCTCCCCAGTAGCTGGGACCACAGGCATATGCCACCACACCTAGCTTATTTTTAATTTTAATTTTAATTTTTTTGTAAATATGGGGTCTCCCAATGTTGCCCAGGCTGGTCTTGAACTCCTGGGCTCAAGTGATCTTCCCACACTGGCCTCCCAAAGTGCTGGGATTGTAGGCGTCAGCCACTGGCATGGCCTCCAGTGGTTTTTGATGAGAACACTTGTTAAGGTATAGCCCACATGAGTTCTGGAGTCCAAAGACCTAACCTTTAAAAATCTAGCTCTTTTTTGTTGTGGTATGATCTTTGAAAAGTTACTTTACATCTTTGGACCTCATATACATCATCTGTAAAACATAAAGAGTATAGCAACTTATTTCAGACTTCTTGTGAGGCTATTATATTCCACAATGAAAAAAGGGACATAGTACCTTGTTCTTGGCTTGTCAAATAAAAACAAATTTGGGCTTAGATAAAGAGAGACTTTTTTTTTTGAGATGGAGTCTCACTCTGTTGCCCAGGCTGGAGTACAGTGGCACAGTCTCTGCTCACTGCAACCTCCGCCTCCCAGGTTGAAGCAATTCTCCTGCCTCAGCCTCCTGAGTAGCTGGGATTACAGGCACATGCCACCATGCCTGGCTAATTTTTGTATTTTCGGTAGAGACGAGGTTTCACCATGTTGGCCAGGTTGGTCTCAAACTCCTGACCTC